GTTCTCCCCACCAGGAAAAGATTGCATTGGCTGAATTCTTTCGCTATTTCCATTGTTTCTGCTGCATCTCTCACTACTCTTTCTTCGTAATTAATTGAACCATTACTTGGAATTTTCTCCTTGTGTTCTGCTAGAATTTGCTCATCGATTGATCTTGTTGAAGATTTGATCTCTTCCCTTACAATCTCCCCTGAAATTTGTGGGGATGGCAAGAAACGAATTACGGTAAGGCTGATACCAGGGTGCTCCGCCATGCGTGAGCCATAAGCAAGGGCTTCGCAATCATCATGGCCTCCAAAGAAGAGTACTGTTATAGTGGAAGAGACAATGCTAGCAGGGACATGGGTGGTTCCGCCAAGGCCACGGTCAACCAAGATTCCGACTGAGCATGGAGCATGGTCAAGAACCCTCTTATTGACCCAACGAAAGTCGCTTCTAGTAGTTTCCAATGCTCCATCCAATCTCTGGTGCTTGTGATATGGGAGAATGATCATTGCTACCTTTTTGCTTTCAGCACTGGCACAGATATCTTCGTGTATGGTGGGCATTGGTGAGATTGCAGTCATTGGGCGGACTGAAACCCTGCTTAGCTGCCGGAAAGCCTCAAAAGCAACAACAACTTGGTCACAATCCGACGGATTCCCCTTGTTCCAGAACAGTAGCCAGTTCTTTCTTGCCTTGTGGACCATAAGAATTGCAGATGACCTCTCGGAGAGCTCCATGAGGTGCATGGCATAAACACAGAGACCTTCCCTCTTATCAGTTCCGCGTGAGGCCTCAATAAGATTAATCATGGTGGGGATGTTTCTTGCACCGTAGAAGCAGGTCAAGATTCGAAGCTGGGTATTTGGATCCTTTCTTTCAATTGTTTTGTATTTGTAATCAACTCTACTCCTCCTTCTAGCTGGCTTATATACTGCCATTACGAGAGGTGTAGTAACGAAAGTTGTGAAGATAGCCATCAAAACCATGATGGCAAATGTTTGATCATTCAACACCTGTAAGATCAATTGGCTAAAATGATTAGTTGTGATCGATCCTTAAAATTTCAAAGTAGAAATAACATGCAAAACCTTAAGACCAATGCCAGAAAATCTGAAAACAGCTAAAAATAATTTTGTTATACCTTTCTATCTTTGCCGATATTTAGGACAATGAGCTCTACCAAGCCTTTAGTGTTCATCAGGAATCCAAGGGCTAGAGCCTCCTGAAATGGCACTTTGCAAAGAAGGGAAACGGTTACGGTGCCAACAATCTTTCCAAAACATGCAGTAATTATGACAAGGACAAGGAGACCCCAAGATTGCGCTCCTTGAATTGTAGCAATATTTGTCTTCAATCCACTAGAGACAAAGTACAGAGGTAGGAAAAGACCGGATACAAGATCTTCAACCTTTTCCACAAGAGCACCGGCAAATGGACCTTCTTTGGGGACAAGAACTCCAATCACAAATGCACCAAATAAGGCATGAATTCCGATGGCATCAGTAACAAACCCGGCTGCCAAAACAGCAGCTAGAGTGGCACAAACATACAGTTCTTCAACTGGTTCTCCCTCAGGGCAACGCTGAGCCATCCATCTGAATATCGGAGGGGCAACAAATATGCAACAAAGGACAAAACCACTACCACATAAAAACACCCATAATGATACGAGAGGGGAACGATCATTGCCTGATAGGGCAATGGCAAGAGCGAGCAGAATCCACGCAGCCACATCATTGACAGCTGCAGCTGACATTGCCATTCGTCCAACATCAGTAGTTAAAAGCTTGAGTTCAGCTAAAATACGAGCCAAAACAGGGAAAGCAGTAATAGAAAGAGCAACCCCCATAAAGATAAGAAATGGGGCTTCACTCACGCCTTTAGAAATAGTGCTGCGAAGGGCGACGGATGTGCCTATTCCTAACACAAAGGGAAGGCTAATGCCTGCAAAAGCTATGCTAAGCGCTTTCTTTCCAGTCCTGCGGAGAGATTTAGGGTCTAACTCTAGACCCACCAGGAAGAGAAAGAAAAGGAGACCAAGATTGGCCAAAGTATCCAACACTGTGAGGCTTCTAGATGGAAATATTGCATTCAGATATTTTGAATTCCTACCCAGCGCAGATGGACCGAGTAATATTCCTCCCTGTAAAGAAATAATGAAAATTGAAAATCACTCTCTTCACATGAAAATGCAACTATTTGTGCAAAGTGTAATTACACTGGTGACGTGCAATATACAAATACCCACTGGAGTGGCCCCTGCAGGACATATAATGACCTTAGACGGGAGCACCAAATTTGAAGTGTGCCTCATGATTTAGGGACTGATCAACTCAGTTGAAGCACATTAAACTTAACAACAAATTTAATGGATAAAAAAATAAAACATAAAAGAAAATGATTTTAAGTACTGCTAATTTTGTAGCTGTAATGCTCGTAAAAATTGTTTGAATAATTTGGACTACTTTCTAAGTCTCTCTTTTCATTTTTCCTTTCCAAATAGCAGAGGAGGTCAGACTGGGATGTACCCAAAAAAAGGTGCTTACGGTGACAAGAAAAGAAAATGAAACTAAGAGGGCAGGATCCAATAATCCTTGTTGACAACTAAGGAAAAGTTACAGACACAATAGGCCTAAGGACAATTGTTTTCAAAATGAATCTTCATCCAAAGGGCACTAAAGTCTAAAACAACATGTAATTTGAAATGGTGCCTCACACTTTTGACCTCTTTTTCTTAAGTTTTGTCTCTGATACTTTCTCGTTTTCTCAAACACGCACATGGCACTGGCCTCCAAGTCTCCAACAAAATAACTCCACAATCATTATTCAACAACAAAGTTTTGGCTCAAATCAAATGTCCCAAAAATCATAGTAAGTGGTAAATAGCTAACATTACTTCGATTTCTGTTCCAGACCATTATTTCCAAACCATTCTTTCAAAATAACTCATAAGTTTCACAATTACTTATAGATGCTTGAAATTTTTTCCACTTCAGACATTCGTGTCTGAATTAAGGTGATGCAAAGAAATTCAAATGGAAGCAAGTATTATGATAAATTTTCTGATCTTTACCAATAAAATAAGAAAAATACACTCATGTATGAACTAGATTCGCTCAATATATGCTGGTAATGCA